CAGTAACGGATGACTGATGATAATCTCTGAACAGGAACTTCCCTAAAACAAGATGAAAATACTCCTGCAAATATAAGAGTGTAATGCCATATAACCTCCTATTAAAAAATAATACAGTTAGAAGAAAATACTTTAAGAATATGAAATGTGCCACCGCAAACTACTTCTGCTCCTAAACCCGACTCCTCCCTCCTTCCCTCCATCCTCTAATGTGGCCGCCGTTAGCGTAAGTTACAGTAAAACGCTCCGTTTAGGTATGTCCCTTGCAACTTACTAGGGACATAACCAAGGTGGACACTATATTAGAGAAACTGTCATTTCAAAGGGTTTGGATGACTCATTTAATTTCAAGTAGATAATCTCTCCTGAATTTTCACAGAAAATGGCCCAAGAATGTACATGTACAGACCAATTTTACTTTAAGCTGCTTCCTGGTTGGATAAATATTCATCTTATCTGTAGATAAATATCAGGTAAACCCAGATGCAGATAAACAACATACCCTTTTGTCCAATAGCATTGTTAGGACATTTTTCTTTCTTTATTTTAATGTTCAAAGAAAATCAAACCTTTTTTATTTTTTAAGAAGGAGTCGTCTTTGAACATATAATTATTGAGAAGAAAAGTTATAGGATATCCTCTAGTGGGACTGTGCAACATGTTTCATTGTGGATTTAAGAGTGTAATATCCTCACTGATGATGTGATTATCTGGTGTTAACACAATAGAGTAATTTGGAGGGGACTTTTCAAAAGGATTTGTAGGTCTTCCTTAGTATCTGGGCGTTTCTCGTGGGCCACTGCAGTGACTGGAACCAGGATATGTGTGGCAGGAGAAAGTAAAGGGGAGAATCTAGTTGTCACTATAGCTGTCTGCTTTTGACTAAAATACACACTTTGGAGAACTGGGGACTGGTGAGTAAGGTAAGGTAATCCAAGATAAATTTCAAAGCACCAAGAAAAATTCCTCAGAAAAGTTTTTCCTAACAAGTGGGCCCAAAGGGTCACTTCAATTAAATGAGGCTTCGGGAGATTGGTAACATCTTCCTATTTGATGTTTTCCCCTCTCAAATTGTGAGAAAAAGCTTTAGGACTTTTTTCTGCCTCCATATCTTACAATTCTCCACATGGATAAATGATCCTAGTCTCACGAGTAAACCAAACTATTTTAAAAAAAGAAAGAAACCTTCCCCAGAGCCATTAAGCGGATGAGTGTTCTCATTATAGTCCTCCAGATTGGACCAACTGAGGACCAGGTGAGGGCTGGTCTTGGCTTTGGCCCTGCTGTCATCCCAACAGGAGGTTGGACTTGACTATGTGCAAATTTCAATAGGAAGCTTTATTTGTAATTAATCGTGAAAACAGCCTCTGCCTCTTGATAATGACAATGAACTTTCTTTTGCATTGATATATTCTTATATCTGTTCAAGTCAAGAAAAATCACCTCAAGTGGGTCTATTAGAGCATGGACAACATTACTAGCTTTAAAATTAGCTTTCTGCAAGTCAGGCTTGCTGATACGCTGTACAGATGGGATTTATTTTCACCCAATTGAGAACTACTTCAAAGCTAACCGAAGCTGCATTGATGGGTTCTTGTAAGCTTTTATATCATCTTTTATGGGACTCCAGTGATGAGCCAGATTTTCAAGGATTTATTTCAATATCATGAGGGTTTTTTTCAACCTCTAAAGATTTTTGTCCACATAAATGAATGCCAGTGGTTCAGATTTTTCACGTGCCCTTTTGCAGATGAACTGAATTCCTTGGGTCTTGTATGTAAATGTAATCAGGCAGTGATATTAGATCATCACTCTGCATATGAATACATAGCTTGCAGTGGTTGGCAAACCTGCACCCNTGCCCTTTTGCAGATGAACTGAATTCCTTGGGTCTTGTATGTAAATGTAACCAGGCAGTGATATTAGATCATCACTGCATATGAATACATAGCTTGCAGTGGTTGGCAAACCTGCACCCGTGCCAGAGGTGTCTAAGGCCCTGGAGAGAATCACTGACTTGGGAAAAAGAGACTCTTTCATAACAAAATGACGCGGCTGGCCCAACCTCAATAAAACCTGGGGCTTGACAGTTTTTCCAGACATGCTGATAGATTTGTGCAGATCTCTTTATACTCCATTGCCTGTCGCCACTATGATCAATATCATGCAATAATACGATAGCTGGCTGGGCTAGGAGAGTTATTTGTGACCCTAATTCATCACATTCTGAATTCTGTTGTACTGTTCCTAGTGAGGGACCTGTTCCTTCAACCCAGTTTATTACCGAAGTGTTAAGTTGAACCATATGAAAGTGATGTTTTTGTAGCTCAAAATATAGGAAATAAAATATCAGTTTTGGTGTATGATTCTAACCAATACCAAGAGAACTTCTTTAAAGGGTTGTTCTGTCATGTTAAAAAACATAAAAGTATGGACTTTGTAATGCCAGTATAAAATTATTCTTAACCCTTTGATGCTGATCTTGTTTCCTGTTGGCTATTTGTCTTTTTAACTTTAATGTTGTGGAAGTGATTTTTATGCTTCCCTTTGTTTCTTGATTACTTTGCATAATTTGGCAAGAAAGACATTATATACCAACAACATATTAAACATAGCAATCTCTAAGCCTAAATCTTTCTTCAGTAAATCTTTAAGGAAAGAAGCAAGATATTGTTGAGCCAAGTGAACTCATGAGAACAGGCAAGACTGTGTCACCCAGATGACTGCTAGCATTTTGCTGAATGGTTTACACAATCTCTGAAATAATAACAATGTGTCCCCTGCAGTCAGCATGAGACCTTTCTTGGTGGATATATTTACAGTGAGTCATATAAATCTTCCATCCCTCACACATATATCTGTGCGAGGAATTTCCCAAGAGCATCCAGGAAATTACAAAAGTATGAATGAATTCCAAAGTGTCAACTTAAAAATATGCACACTCAGTTTTAGGTCATTCCTGATAGGAAACATCAAAAGAAAAAATATATATTTTTAAGTAAAGATGATGGATTCATTCAATATTTTGAAAAAACCCTCAAGTCACCTAGTTAACTCTCAGACTCCCAAAGTAATTGAAGGCAATAAGAAATATCATGTGTTTTTGACAACTAGGTGCTTGAAGTAACTTTGCAGGACTTCACTATATAGCATCTCTTTAATGCTTTAGGCTAAACTTAAAACAAAACAAGAAAACCTCAAAACAGAAACTATTCTTGTAGTTGGAAATGTGGCTAACTTTATATTTGCTTCAGACTTTCTCTGTCAAAATGGGAAATTCATTTAACCTCTCATATTAAATTCTCCAGCTTGTGCATAAATACATAGATTATTAGTGAAATGTCAATTGTAGAGAGTTTGTGTTAGTTGAGTTTTATTGATTTTAGCTATTTCCAAGTCCTGGTATACTTAATTATCCAAAAGTTATATTGAATATGAGCAATATCACTTTTATTGTCACCATTAAAGTTTTAAGAAGGCTAACCAACGAGTGAATGTAAACACCTCTGAAAATGTCAGATTCCAGACAGACATATTAAATGATAATATTTGTCATTACTAAACCCTTGACTCACCTCTCTTCCCTTTGTTAGTGTGAGAATATTTTCTTCCTCTGCTTTGGAGTGGGAGAAGGGATAGAAAGTAGCATAGGAAAAACCCTCCTAGTTCCTAAACCTGGAGGCGATGATGGTCATTAGGTGGGTGAATGTGAATCGGAGTCACTATCCTTCAACTATGTTTCTTTCTGGAAGATAGGCTACCTGGCTTTTTCAGTGAGGGCTATAGCCTCTGAAAAGATGTCAAGTCCAAGAAGAGGGCTAAGACTTTTATCTAAATCCCAAGGGAAGAACACGCCTACTGCCTAAGAATGGCTGTAGGAAAGATCTAATTAGCACCACACTGTCTTGGAGCAGCCACCCAGACCTGTTTAACACATGACCAGGGGGTGAGCCTGCCCTGGGCCCTCTGCCCATCATCTTTCCCAGGGACAGGACTAGGGCATGAAATGTAAGGAGGCCCAGAAAATTTGGTACTCATATAATATTTTTTTAAAAATTGAGTGAATACAAAAAGTTCATGTACTCTTTTCTTTCAATACTCTAATCTCCAAGAGGTCAGGGATTGTGTCTCTTTGGGTCACAGGTGAATCTTCACACAAAGTTCAGTCTTTAGCACAGCACCTGGCATATAGTAGCTGCTTCATAAATGCTCATTGAATGAATGGAAGAAAAACCTATTGGAGCTCAATGCTGTGTATATGTTTCTTGCATGATTATGTGGATAGAAATACGCCTCTGGCTGACCCCTGCCCTAGAGCTTGCTTTGGGAGTCATGGACCCCTTTGTAGGATTTTTCTGAAAACTAGGAACAAGGAACCAGAAACAATATATCTTGAGTTTCAAAAAAAATCAGACGTGCTTAAGTTGATTCAAATGAGAATCAGAAAGATGACTGAACTTATTGGGGGAAAAGTAATTAAAATAATGTAGTGGTGTTTCAAAATGATCTATTTTGCAAAAGAACCAGAAAATACAATTTATGACATCTTGAGCCTCCCCCCCCCCCC